CAAAACATACGCGCTCTCGCTAAACTGTACTACGACGCTGGTTATCAAGTGGATCGCTCAAGCCAGCCGTGTCCTATCTAGTTAGGTGCGCGTTCACATGAAAGGGGTGGTATCTGGAGCATTCGACCAATCACAAACATGGAGAAGCGTACTGACAGTGCAGCGTCATACTTCCTGAATGAAAAGTAAACTATAATATTAGACATATGAAAAAGTTAAACTTTAAACATCCATGACTTAAACACTTGATCCAGGATCAAAGCCACAGAGCTGCACCTGCAAGGTGAACACAGCTGGGAACAGAACAAGTGTTTGAATGCGTACAGGTTTATGATATCACTGCCCCGTCTAAAACACGATCTGACTTTCATTACATCTGACTCCAGTGTTTCCTCAACTTAATGTGTTGCTTCAAATAATGCTTCTGCATCCAGTCTGTGACGCTGTGAGTGTTGCACGGCCAGATACGGCTCAGCTGACTCAGATCAGGAGATGATACATTATGAAGTGATATGGACTGTACTTAATGTGACTCTGATCCGGTTACTTATGTTGTGGCAGATATTTAAGTAAGCTTTCTTAACGCTAATGTTATAATAGTCAGATTGCTCTGAAGATGGAGGTGATATTCTATTCATGTTCACGTTCACACAGTCGCTGATTTTTGCCGGCCGTCTTTCCTGCAACGGCAGCTTTTCTGTATTTCCTTTCTCCTGTAATATGACTTGATCGCTTTAAACTCCGCACACTGAGCTCTGATTGGTCAGCAGGCGGTGCTTTCACTGAGTTGATCTCTTAGCCTGCAACCTAACATGGTCCCGACCAGCCGCTCAGCATCAGTTACCATGGAGATCTAGCCCGCTAAAAAGAGAACCAGCGTCGTAGGACCGGAAACCAGAGTTTCCCCTGAAGTTAGCCGCTAAGCGAAAATCCAGCTTCGTAGTATACCCCCCTGGTCTATGGTTCTTCTGGAGTTAATGGTTGTGTTGGGGGGGGTCTCTGGTGGTTTTGGGGATCTGTTAATGTTATGTGGTTCCTTAGAGGGACTATGGTGGTTTTGGGGAACCGGAATTATGTGTGGATGATTCAGGAGTCTCTGTGGTGTTGGATGTGGTTTCGTGTTTTAAGGTTGTTTTGGGGGGGTCTGGGGGAAATGTGTGTATTTGTGATGTAATTGTTGGTCTGTGGTGGTTTTGGTGTTCTGTGGTGTTTTGTGGTGTTCTGTGGTGTTCTGTGGTGTTCTGTGGTGTTTTGTGGTGTTCTGTAGTGTTCTGTGGTGTTCTGTGGTGTTCTGTGGTGTTCTGTAGTGTTCTGTGGTGTTCTGTGGTGTTCTGTGGTGTTCTGTGGTGTTCTGTGGTGTTCTGTGGTGTTCTGTGGTGTTCTGTAGTGTTCTGTGGTGTTCTGTGGTGTTCTGTGGTGTTCTGTAGTGTTCTGTGGTGTTCTGTGGTGTTCTGTGGTGTTCTGTGGTGTTCTGTGGTGTTCTGTAGTGTTCTGTGGTGTTCTGTGGTGTTCTGTAGTGTTCTGTGGTGTTCTGTAGTGTTCTGTGGTGTTCTGTGGTGTTCTGTGGTGTTCTGTGGTGTTCTGTGGTGTTCTGTGGTGTTCTGTGGTGTTCTGTGGTGTTCTGTGGTGTTCTGTGGTGTTCTGTGGTGTTCTGTGGTGTTCTGTGGTGTTCTGCGGTGTTCTGCGGTGTTCTGCGGTGTTCTGCGGTGTTCTGCGGTGTTCTGCGGTGTTCTGTGGTGTTCTGCGGTGTTCTGCGGTGTTCTGCGGTGTTCTGTGGTGTTCTGTGGTGTTCTGCGGTGTTCTGCGGTGTTCTGTAGTGTTCTGTGGTGTTCTGTGGTGTTCTGTGGTGTTCTGTGGTGTTCTGTGGTGTTCTGTGGTGTTCTGTGGTGTTCTGTGGTGTTCTGTGGTGTTCTGTGGTGTTCTGCGGTGTTATGTGGTGTTCTGCGGTGGTTGTGACCTTTTCGTTGACGATGTGCGTTTGGAACACTCCTGCTTTGTAGTAGGAGAACATTCCGCTGTCGAAGAAGAACTCGGAGAGAGCAAGATAAACCATCCGGTCGTAATCTTTGATGACCGGTTCCACAGCAAGGTTCTCCAACGTGCTGTTTGGATCCGACAGGTCGAAGAACATCCCCTAAAGACACAGAGAACCCCTTAATGCTACTATCACATTACATTGAACAGATAACACAGGAGAACACGACGTAAAGTAATAATAAAAGTGACGCAGTGCTACTTAAGGTTCTATGGTAATCAATGGTGAACATGAAGTAAAGTAATGAATACAAAGTCATTCAGTTCTACCACAGGTTCTACGGAGAACCCAGGAGAACGTGTGCCTCACCCTGAAGTGCATGTCGAGGCTCCGGGACGTCACCACTGGATCCTCGATCAGAGAGTAGTCGATCCCGATGTAGCTGTCCACCTCCGTCCTCACAGGGATCGTCTCCAGCAGAGAGTTCACATGGACCAGAGCTGCATGGTTCAGAGCGGGACAGATCTGAGAGACAGACAGGTGAGAGACAGACAGGTCAGAGAGACAGACAGACAGGTGAGAGACAGACAGGTCAGAGAGACAGACAGACAGACAGGTGAGAGACAGACAGGTCAGAGAGACAGACAGACAGGTGAGAGACAGACAGGTCAGAGAGACAGACAGACAGACAGGTGAGAGACAGACAGGTCAGAGAGACAGACAGACAGGTGAGAGACAGACAGGTCAGAGAGTTCACATGGACCAGAGCTGCATGGTTCAGAGCGGGACAGATCTGACAGACAGACAGGTGGGAGACAGACAGGTCAGAGAGACAGACAGACAGGTGAGAGACAGACAGGTCAGAGAGTTCACATGGACCAGAGCTGCATGGTTCAGAGCGGGACAGATCTGACAGACAGACAGGTGGGAGACAGACAGGTCAGAGAGACAGACAGACAGGTGAGAGACAGACAGGTCAGAGAGTTCACATGGACCAGAGCAGCATGGCTCAGAGCGGGACAGATCTGAGAGACAGACAGGTGGGAGACAGGTGAGAGACAGACAGGTGAGAGAGACAGACAGGTTGGAGACAGACAGGTTGGAGACAGACAGGTTGGAGACAGACAGGTCAGAGAGACATACAGGTAGGAGAGACAGACAGGTGGGAGAGACAGACAGGTGGGAGACAGACAGGCAGACAGGTGAGAGAGACAGAAAGATTGGAGACAAACAGGTTGGAGACAGACAGGTCAGAGAAACATACAGGTCAGAGAGACATACAGGTGGGAGAGACAGAGAGGGGAGAGATAGTCTTGTAGTCTTGTAGTCGTCAGAGCGGGCGACATTGAGGCACATCTTAAACTGCTGGCTAAAAATAAACGTAAATACAGTAGGATTATTATTCACGTCGGTGGTAATGATGTTCGTTTACGCCAATCAGAATGCACCAAACTTAATGTGGAGTCGGTGTGTAGTTATGCTAAAACAATGTCGGACACCGTAATCTTCTCTGGTCATTACATCACATTGCATTTAGCTGACACTTTTATCCAAAGTGACTTACAATAAGTGCGTTCGACCAACAAAATACAAACTTGAAGAAAACAGAATCATATAAGTACATCAGGTTTCATAGAGCAAAAACATTTCAAGTGCTACTCAACTGGCTTTAGGTAAGCCAGTCCTTTATTAGTATATAAGTGCTTTGTTAATAGTTCTATCGCTCGAAGTGGAGTCGAAAGAGATGAGTTTTCAGTTTGCGCCGGAAGGTGTGTAAGCTATCTGCTGTTCTGATGTCAATGGGGAGCTCATTCCACCATCTTGGAGCCAGGATAGCAAACCCACGTGTTTTTGCTGATGGGAACTTGGGTCCCCTTCGCAGCGATCATCTGATCAATGATGACATGTATAGCCGCATGTCATCATTTCAGCGCTGGTTGTCTTGGTGGTGCCCAGCAAACAATGTGGGCTTCGTAAATAATTGGACAGCCTTCTGGGGAAAACCTGGTCTGATTAAGAGAGACGGCATTCATCCTACTTTGGAAGGTGCAGATCTCATTTCGGCAAACATTTCAGGGCTTTGTGGACTTAATCCATGACAAACTGGAGTTGAGACCAGGAGGCGGAGTCGCAGTCTTACACGCTTCTCTGCGCTCTCTCCTAGGCAGTCATCCATAGGAATCCCGAACCCAATAAAATACCCAATATTAACGGTGTGTGTGTCTGCCCAAGGACAAGTTAAGGTAAAACCTAATAGAGGTGTCATACATAATAACCTAATACAAGTAAATGTAACAACTACTACAGTGCAACAAAACAGAAGGTCTCTTAAACATAAGATCTCTAGCATCTAAAGCAATATTGGTAAATGATTTAATATCAGATTATAATATTGATATATGCTGTCTCACTGAAACTTGGTTGAGACATGAAGAATATGTCAGCATAAATGAGGCCACTCCACCCAGCCATATCAATACTCATATTGCCCGAGGCACGGGCCGAGGAGGTGGAGTTGCAGCAATCTTTGACTCAAGTTTACTTATCAATACTAAACCAAAATTAAATTATACCTCCTTTGAAAGTCTCGTTTTTAGTCTTACGCATCCGACCTGGAAAACTTTGCAGCCAATCTTATTTGTTACAGTGTACCGTGCACCAGGTCCTTATTCAGAATTCTTATCTGAATTCTCTGAGTTTTTATCAACTTTGGTTCTTAAAACAGATAAAGTAATTATCGTAGGTGACTTTAATATTCATGTTGACGATGATAAAAATAGCCTTACTGTTGCATTTAACTCTATATTAGATTCTGTTGGTTTCTGTCAGAGTGTAAATAAACCAACCCACTGCTATAATCACACTCTCGACCTTGTTCTGACTTATGGTATTGAAATTGAGCAACTATTAGTCGAACCGCATAATCCTGCTTTATCCGACCATTTCTTAGTAACTTTTGTACTGTTACGAGACTACAAAGCATTAGTCAAAAGCTCCTGCAGCAGAAACCTATCTGTTAGTGCTATAGCCACATTTAAGGAAGAGATTCCACCAATACTTAACTCGATAGCATGTCTGCATGTAGGGGAGGAAACGTATACAAAATGTACACCACCCCAAATTGATCATGTTGTTGATAGTGCTACAGATGCGCTGCGAATAAAATTAGACTCTGTTGCTCCTTTGAAAAAGAAGAAAATAAAACAACATAGATTAGCTCCATGGCATAATGCCCAAACCCGCAAAATAAAGCAAAAGTCGAGACAACTTGAAAGGATATGGCGTTCTACTAAACTTGAAGAATCTCGTTTAATTTGGCATATTGCTCTCAATGAATATAAGAAAGCATTGCGTAAAGCGAGAGCAGCCTACTACTCTTCATTAATAGATGAGAATAAGAATAATGCAAGATTTCTTTTCAGCACTGTAGCCAGGCTGACAGAAAGCCACAGCTCGATTGAGCCTTCTATTCCCATAGCACTCAGTAGTAATGATTTTATGTGCTTTTTTAACGATAACATTGTTACTCTTTGAAACAAAATTAATGACCTCTTGCCTTTGACCAGTATAGTGTTATCAACAGCTCCCGGAAACGTGAGTTCTAATATTACACTAGATAGTAAACTAGAATGCTTTTCAGCCAGAAACCTTGAACAATTAAATTCAATGATTCTCTCTTCTAAACCATCAACGTGCATGTTAGACCCAATTCCAACTAAGCTGTTGAAGGAAGTTTTTCCATTAATTAGCACTTCTTTATTAAATATTATGAATATGTCTTTATTATCAGGCTATGTTCCACAATCATTCAAAGTAGCAGTGATAAAAACCGCTTCTTAAAAAGCACAACCTCGATCCAGAGGTTTTAGCCAACTATAGACCTATTTCTAATCTTCCGTTCCTCTCAAACATTCTTGAGAAAGCGGTCGCAAAACAGTTGTGTGATTACTTAAAAAACAATGATTTATTTGAAGATTTTCAGTCTGGCTTTAGAACACATCATAGCACAGAGACAGCTCTGGTTAAAGTCACAAATGACATTCTAATAGCCTCTGACAAGGGACGTGTCTATTCTTGTTTTGCTCGATCTCAGTGCTGCATTTGATACTATCGACCATGATATCTTATTGCAAAGACTAGAGTACTTAGTTGGCATACAGGGAACTGCTTTAGGCTGCTTTAGGTCCTATCTATCTGAACGCTCTCAGTTTGTACGTGTCAACGATGAATCTTCCACGCAAACCAAAGTTAGCCATGGAGTGCCACAGGGCTCAGTGCTCGGACCTATTTTGTTCACATTATATATGCTTCCGTTAGGCAATATTATAAGGAATCATTCTGTAAACTTTCATTGTTATGCGGATGATACTCAACTATATTTATCAATCAAGCCTGATAAAATTAATCATCTAAATAAAATTCAAGACTGCCTCAAGGACTTAAAAACGTGGATGACGTTAAAAAAATGTATGTTAAACACGACAAGTTATTGTACTTGGCCCGAAGAATCTATGAAACAAATTATCTAAAGATATACTAACTATGGATGGCATTCATTTGGCCTCCAGTGAGACTGTAAGGAATCTTGGTGTTATATTTGATCAGGATTTATCCTTTAACGCCCACATAAAATCAATTTCAAGGACCGCCTACTTCCATCTACGTAACATTGCAAAAATCAGGCATATCTTGCCTCAAAACGATGCAGAGAAACTAGTCCATGCATTTGTTACTTCAAGGCTGGATTATTGTAACTCCTTATTATCAGGGTGTACCAAGAAGTCAGTCAAGTGGCTTCAGCTGATTCAAAATGCTGCAGCTCGTGTACTAACTAGAGTTAGGAAAAGGGACCACATTACTCCTGTTCTGGCTGCCTTACACTGGCTCCCTATCACAGGATAGAATTTAAAATTCTTCTTCTCGCCTACAAAGCCCTTAATGGGCAGGTGCCATCTTACCTTAAATAACGATAGTTACGGCTGTAACTACGGTTCTATGAGTCCCGGATGACCGCCAGAGGCGGTGCTTTAAGCACTGGATATGTCCATCGCGCGCATGTGCAGCTCGAGTACCAATAACAACAAAGTCACCTGTGACCCACGTGACACCGGCTATATCAGCCGGTGTCGTCAGAGGATCTGTTCCCAGAATCTTCTCGCGAGCACACAAGAATTCTGAGTGACAGGGAACTCTGGCGGTCATCTGGGACTCATAGAACCGTAGTTACAGCCGTAACTATCGTTCTATTTCGTCCCTACTGACCGCCAGAGGCGGTGCTTTAAGCCCTGGATGACTTATACCAACAATGTCATGAAGAATCCAAGCCCTTGCTCACCACTGGAAACAGCGGAGCTCGGCAAAAGGACCACGCCCAAAGAATGGGGAGTGGCGACATTGACCTGATGACAACTGGAGAATGTGCCAGAAGACGCCCACGACGCCGCGGCGCAGATGGTCTCCAGGGGCACCACCCTCAGGGCAGCCCAAGATGTTGAGATGCTCCTTGTAGAGTGGCATCTCAGCCT